ACCATTGACCCTATTGGATCATTAGGCCACTTTGCAATGCTACCAGCTGGTTATTTGGGCTTTCAATCTATCGGCTACCAGGGTCATTAAGGCCATCAATGTGTTGAAACTCCTCACCATCACTGAGAATGTGCACGGCAGTTGATTGGTTGTTGTGCGGCCATGCAGCCTAGAGGGAACACTGCTGCTAATTCCAACTAGCTACTTTGGGCAGTGTGTTTAAATTTCACCCAATGGCATATCTACTCTCAACAGCCACACATAAATATATTTGTATTCACAAAAATACTTCATGGTTTCCTTTAACCTGGATGGTAAAATAGGTTATATTCAGGCTAATATCTGGTAATTTGATTTTTACAAAATAAACACGTTTCCATATCTACAAAATTTTGTAGCAACATAAAAATGATTGGAAATGATGAACATTTTATAGCAAAAACATGAGTGGCATTTAATAGCAAAGCAGTTTTCCAAGAATAAAGAACTTGCTAATTTATTAAAACATTTTCAAAACATAAATTTCATACTATAATATTTTATAATAATTATGTTAAAGGTAATCTTTGAAATATTCATAAACAATAATTTTATTCTGTACTGCAAATCGTACCTTTCCACTCTTCTTGACGGCATCAACGAGTTTATCAAAATTAGCTTTGTCTTTGTCTGCCTGCATGAAACAAAAGAACAGCCTCTTCATAAATATATTACCAATATTCAGATAGGTATTGCAATTTAAATTCACTGCCACTAAGCACTGCATAATACACACACAAACATTAAACGTACTGTCTCTTATTACTCATAAAAAAGTTTTGTTTTTTATAATTTCAACAAATAAGTATGTCCAGTAAAAGATTTCTTATACATTGTTTTACTTTGCCATATTTTATTTCATGTAAATCTATAAACATATACATTTTAACATCTTGACTTTGATCAGCCAAGGAAATAATAAAAATATATTTTTATATTATGAACCTGGTAAACAAATGGTACAAATTATCTTAAGTGGTATATTACTTAAATGATTAAAAACCAAATTCCCAGTTTGCTCCTGAAGAAGAAAGGTCCATCTTTCGAAAGAGGTCGGGTTATAGGGTTTTTATTCATTTCTGTCAAGTCTTCTTGAACCTATGTGTTTTTCTAACATCATGGATATATTAATAATTTATTGTTTCTTCTCAAACAAGTAAAAGGTATAATAATACTTTTACCTTGACTCTGTCATTATAATAAAGCATAATTGGAAGAATGTGTTCCCAAAACATCCTGCAAACCTGTTTATAGATGATTTAATTCAATATCTTGTTTCATCATGATAAAGAATATATTAAAGCATTGACTTCATATATCTCATTATTATGGTGAAGGATAAACTATTATGTTTCTTCAACTATTGCTACTAAATGTACACATTCATACATTATCTGGTCCAGTTAATAGACGAATCAATGCATTACCTTAATTCAGTTGTGAATACAGATGTAAAGACTTAATACTCTCTTATGAGCCTTGCCACAAATAAAAGAATACAGTACTCACTATTCACTTCATTAGTGAGGAAAGTATTAGTATATAATACTTCTGTTGTCAAACTATTTTTAAACAGATCAAACAATATGTCCCTCATCAGTAGAAAAAGGTACATGCTAATACAGTACCTCATATCTCGTCAAATTAATACGAGATTTGTTTATACCTTAAAAGTTGTTCATAAACTGTTATGTCATTATACAAAAAGAATGTGTTAGGACCTTATCTTTCTTTAGCCATTATGCTAAAGAGATATCAGATGGATAGTGTCATATTGCACATACTGACAAGTACAGCTAAAGATGTGTTAATGCACCATCTTTATCAACATGTTATAATTTATTACTTCTCAGTCTGATAAGCAAAGTATTAAAATAGAACATCTTATCCTTTTTTAACCACCTCAAGTCTGTTAACTGAAAGTACACGGGGGTCAGACCAATGGCCCTTCCTCATACTGGAAAATGTTGACTATAATTCCAAATTTACTATTGCATCTACACAAAACATGTTAAGTTTTTAGTAAAATGTACAAGTCTTTTGTGAACAAAAAAATCAGATGTGTTACAAATGTATTTGTATTCAGCAAGTGTCTGTTAACTTACAATGTCAGTCTGACTCTGACAAGTCGGAGTGCAAGATGAGGTTCTTGTGAAGAATAACAATACTTTTATCCATCGTACAGTTTGCATACTGTATTTGCATAACCTCCAGAATATCAAAAATGCATAGCTACAATTCTTTTCAGTAACCCCTGTATATTGTATCTGGTATTTACTAATCTCTACCACTAAATTAGCAGTGTAGGGCAAAATAAATAGTTGATAACCCTGACACCAAATATATAATACCATGTTGAATGGCACTCTGTAAAAGGTTGTGCCATGTGGCCTTGACCCCCCCCCCACTCATGCAAATAGGATAAATAAATTTGCATTTTTTCTAATCTGTTTACTAAAGGACATGTTCCTATACTATACTCTCTCACTTTTTAATGTTTCAAAAAGGTGTTGGGCTTGTTTACTTAGATTCTTGTATATAGGATAAATGTGTTCAAATTACTCAGTCCATTTACAGAGTAACAGTTACTTGTAATACAAGGTTTTTCTTTTCGTGTGACAGATGTGATAAAATAACAAGGTATATTGTCACCAAGTTTCCCAACCTCTCACTTACAGTAAATGAAGTTGCTCAGAATATAAAATCTATATCCTACAGGGTGATAAAATCGAAGTATTAAGGAACATTTCCTTCTTCCCAAGAGGCTAGTATATGTGTTTAGATTTTCCTTTTCTACTATGAAGAGTATAAATGTTACCTTGTCTCGTGTCAACAGAGTGATGGGTGGGACGTCACTTTCATTTTCTTTGCCAGATTCTATTTGCTTTAAAAATTCCACTTTTTTCTTACTGGCCAGGAAGTAAATTGCACTCTCACAGAGGACCATTATGGTATCAGTCAGCTCATAACCAAAGAGCCATGTCTAGATGAAAAAAACATTTTAGTTCAAGTTATTTGGCATGCACATCATATACTTAATTGATAATTAGTAGATGAACTGATAACTATTGTTTTAACTACATAAGATATAATTTATTAATTAGAAAGCAGGAGCATAACCATACACAGATATACTAGACCAAACCAAAAACAGATGAAGACCTATTCATACCTGGAGAGCTGTAGATTTACTGTAAACAACATCTTCATCAACTCCAACTGCTGACACAAGGGCATCCATCTTTGAAAATCCATTGTCTTTCTCGCCAGCATTCTAGCATGTCAAACACAGATATACTAACTTATTATATAGTAGTTAAGGCCCAAATATCTACTATATTAAAGTTCTTTAACAGCATATATACATATACTTGATGAAATATTAAAAAGGTTGTCACTAATCAGAAAACATTATGCACTTTGTTCACAAATATAAATCTAAAACATTAGATGTAGCATTACAATACACCAACTCAAAACTATTTTTATATTTTATATTTTAGTTCCCAAGTACAGTATCTGACAATGCCCTAAATATTCAATTTTGTTTAAATGTCTTTTCCACTTGTAATGTACTTGCTAGGTTGCTCTGCAGTCCAAGTGGTATGTCTTCATTCAATCTAAAAATAAAACAAGATGGGTGGGAAATGTACAGTATCTGACCATGCCCTAAATATTCAATTTTGTTTAAATGTCTTTTCCACTTGTAATGTACTTGCTAGGTTGCTCTACAGTCCAAGTGGTATGTCTTCATTCAATCTAAAAATAAAACAGGATGGGTGGGAAATGTGAGAAGAGGTAAGTATCTATCTGAAATACATTGTAAGTGTCAGAAAATATTAACTTCCAATATGATACCTTACCTCCTCTGACATAATAGCTAAAATCCACATTAAAACAGTAGAGGGACTGATGCAAAAGTTACCAAGATGAGCACTCATCAGAAGGTGCCCATAGAGAACCCATGGAGCGTGATACCCAAATGTATAGGGTCACACCCATGGGAGACTGCATCTCATCTGTAAAGATATGTGTCACTGTTTCACTAAAATGAGTGAAAAAAGACATGCCAGATAATGTAAAGTGAATAGGGTGCATCAGATCATATTTGTTGGGTCCACTCCAATCCAAAACCAGGCAACATTGGATATTTGTCTTTTAGTAAAGGGTAGGAAGAGAACTTGGCTTTGGAAACCAAGAGCTCCAATGGCCTCAAACAATGAAGAGAATGCTGGGCCTTGCAGAGGTAGGTGATGAAAAATAGCCCCCAAATGGATAAGATACTGCATGAGGGTGAAATAGGACTTTTCCAGCTTGACTAGCCATCCTATACGAGCTGCCTCCTGTAGAAGGAAATGGGTATGTTAGTGAGAGGCTTATTGGGATACAGCTAAAATGAGCCAGGCATCCATACAACGATGGATCCTCAGACCCTAAGTGTGAAGACGGTGTGCAGAGGCTCTGACCACACAACAGAAGATGTAAAGCACCAACGCCAGACTGAAAGGTAGAGAGCAGAACTGAAACACTCAACCTCCATGAACAAACTGAAAGTAACGTCTTAATGCAGGAGTAATGAGAATATGAAGGTAAGTATCCAAGATGTCAATCTTGGTCATCCAAGTAATCAACCAATGAAGGGTAAAAAGAAAGACTCCATGATGAGCTGTGGGATGATGAAGAAGCAGTTGAGGTTGGAGATCAATGACAGAACATCAATCACCAGTTTTCTTAGGAACCACGAACAACCAGGAATAAAACCCACAGAAATGTGAAATACTTGCTCGATAGTATCCTTGTTCAAAAGCTCGTGAATTACCTCCGAGAGATGCTGGCATGAAATGGGATCATTAGCAAAATTCAATCAGAATTTAGCCAACTTATTTATGTATATCATTTGAATAGGATAAACACAAAAAAAAATATTTAAGTCATCAGAATATTTTGCAGTCACATACAATAAACTCAACTTCTGAATTGATCATGATTTTATTTGATGAACATAACAGAAAACCTTGTGCTTGCAAATATTGCACAGTAAATCTATTAAAAAATAAACACATCAAAGAATCTAACATCAATAAGCTATCTTTATTAAACCTAAAGCAAACTTCCATCACGTGACTTAAACTACACGTTATCCATGAAAAGGATAACAATCTCAAGAGATGATAAGCAAAAACCAAGTAGTTCTTTTGGCTGGGCAGAAAAATTCTAAAAAAAAAATCAACAAGTGGGTTGTTTTATGAGCAAAAAACTGCAACCACGCAGAAATGAAGATATGAATTTTTCTTTATGAATTATGCTAAATAAATATTAGGAAATAAAGAAATATTAATTCTGAAATATTCAAGTTAAAACTCTTGAAATATAGTTACAAATAACATACAAAATATATTTTAAAATTTGTATCTCAAGGAATTATCAAGTACCAAAAAAATATGAAAAGCTGGAGGAAACCATCATCTCACTTTACACACAATAATTTACAATTAAGTTATTTTCTTGATTCTAAGCCTTATACTTGAAAATGTATCCTACATTTGAGTTATCCAACTGCTATTTAGAAATGATAAAAGACTTATTTACTTATCAGTTACAACAATACTGTGTACACTTCTCCAAACTTGTTATCAAGACAATTCAGTATTGTTTTACATTTATAAGCTTATCTACAACAATTTCATGGCCTTAAATGTTGTATCTATAAAGCTACAGTCATTCAAATACTTTATAACCAACCATAGGAAATTAATAATCATAACTAACTTAATTTATTTGGAATACAAGTTCTTAGCCAAAGTAAAAACCTAATATTTTTTTTATATTCTTCATGTAACCTAAATTTAAAGTCAAAGAACTAAAATTTGAAATAACATCAATCACTTTGTAAAATAAAACTTTTGGTTGTTACTTGTTAACACAATAATACTATATTATCTGTATAGAATTTCTAGTTTTATTCCTATTCATTTCCTAGTGATTTTCAAACTTTGTAAGTTATAACTATATTTAACTTTGGCTGGTATAATGTAATGTCTACAGCACCTATGAAGAAAACCAATTAGAAATGTTACACACATTAGTTTGTTTGTTTTACATGTACATTCTTCTTAATTTGTCCATTGCAGCTTGAAATCAAGAAGAGTGTAATAAATATCATTTCAAATCTACCTTTGTCTTCCACAATTCACTGTCCAATAAGCTTTCTGTTCTATACCAGGACGTATCAGTTGGGCTGAAACCTATATTTATAACAATATTTTACACCTATTTATTTTCCAATAATTTGTAGTATAAATCAACCACTTTCCTTCAGCAACTCAAAATTAGTAACAGTGGCAGATAGCCTTAGTAGCATTGCAATAATACAGACAGGACAAGCATGTTTAGTGCCAATGGGAATTGAATCTCAGGGGTTTCCAATTTATATTGCCCAGCACTCAGGACAACAAGACTTGGATCAGGAATAACAAGTTTTTCTGTTTAACTCAGTCTGTCAGACAAGTAGTTTATGAATTTGAATTTTTATCTTTAATAAAACTTTGATATTGCTGTGTCATTCCACTATGTAACTAAAATCATATTTCTGCACCACAAGTATAATGTCCAAGCATTAATACATAAAATACAAAATATACCTCAGCAGCAACAACTTAAGTGAAGCTCAGAAGTTTACCATCATTTACTGTTTACTATCGTTTACTGTTCTTGTGTGTTAAACATGTTCGATTTGCTGGTCAGATGTATGTTTCTTTGTATATGTGTGTGAGTGATGAAAGAGGGGGCGTGTTAGATTAGATATGTCGGCCACGTTTCTGTGTGTTTGGATGTGACAGGTTTTGTTGAAGTTAAAAAAAAAGAGAAACAGAATTAAACAGTATTTTTTTATTGCTAGCACCATGAAGGGTCGGCCCCTTACAATACCTTCTACTTGGTAAGTTGCACAATAAAATAATATAAATAACACTTCATTACAGTAATTCTTTAAATAAATACTCTACCTAATTCACTTGACCAGTAAAAATTAATTATACGTACTGTCTATACAGTAAATAAATAAACAGCTTCTGTATTAATAATACAATGTCTACATCAGGGGTGGCCAAACTACAGCAAGGAGAAAACCAGAATTTTGCAATGTACATTACTGGAAACCCACATATATCTAAAATTTATTTTACCACAGAAGAACACAAGTAACTTTGAAAAAGTCTGAGATGAACTGAGGCTCCTGGTAGTGCCACCTCAGTAGTTCTGGACAATACAAATGCTTTTATTTTATAAAATAATATAAATATTGTTGATTTTACCAAAATGCTCTTATTTTATATATAATGGAACATCAATTAAACCTTTTAACTGCATTTTTTCATAGATGTGACTGTTTAAACCAATCAGGACACAAATTACATATTCCAAGAGAAACTAGGATATACAGTATAGAAATGGAGCCTAAAACATTAAAGCTCAGTTTTGATTGAAAAGGGTAAATCATGTCTCAGTCTTAAACTTTGGGTTCAGCAAAAACAGTAAGGCTAAAGAGGGCAAAAAAAGAAAGAGCTCCATAAACCAACTATTAGTGATGATTATGAAACTGCTAGTAGCAACTATCAGCTCTCTGCCACAAAAAGTTAAAAACATGATGGAAATAAGAATTTCAGTCTTATTGGAAGGACATTTGACCATGATTAGTTCTTAAGGAAAGCCAGTCTCCAAAAGGAATTGTGAGATTTGCCTGAAATATCATACAATAGCAACTAGTCATTCTACATTGGGCACAAATACTTTCTTGAGTAGGTGTGATCAATTCCATATTGAGTCAGTTAGAGCACACTAAACCAACAAAGTTCACATGGCATATATGTCATGGTACAATCAGTGCTGCTATGGAGACAGAGTCATCGCAGTTCTACAAATCAATTTGGGGGGAAACCCTTATTGTGCAGCTAATGCACAAACTGAAGGAGATGGAAAAAAAAAAAGAGATTATCAATGTTGTCGAACAATTCCTATTTAATTGCTAAACAAGGCAAACCTATATTAGACATGGAATTTCTGTGCGGAGCAAAGGAGAAGTCAGCTGTTGTGGGTGTGAGACAATTACACTAATGGAAGGAAAGTTTCATGATATAAAAGACTGTTTAGTTTAGATATTACCGATTAATTTATTTTGTGAATGAATATTTTATTATTGTTTAGTTTTGTTATAATAAGAGTTAAAAGCAGACGATTGTAAGAAATTGTGTTTATAAATTCATTGATATTGAGACT